TCTATGTTCATATTTATTTTTATGTCCTATTAAATGTTAGGAAAAAAATTATTAAAAATAATTCTCTTATATTTATTAGGGTTATGAGCGAAAATTTAATAAATTTTAAGATAGAGTTAATGAAATTTAAAGTTTGAAAAAATAACAATTACAAACCCCATAAAAGGTATTAATGACAATTTCAGACCTTAAAAAAGTAAAATCTTTTTAGAAGATCATAGTCCTTAATTGCAATTAAAAATGTAACAAATTCATAAATTACCCGTATGAGCAAATGTAGCAAATAGCTTATCAAAGTCTTATTTTTTCAATGTGAAATCCTTCTCATTGCTTCAAAGCTACTCGGTTTGCCTTCAATCTTGGTCTTTGCCAAAGTGGGGAGTCCTGTAACCCATATCTTGGTTTTCGACAAAATGGATCATCATGTAATTCATATATGTGCATTCCTCTATTTTTTTGGTTTAAAAATGTGAACCTATAACTGGCTTGATAGTATTATAATTATTGAATTCACTAACTGAGGGTATTTTTAACCTTACTTGTGAAATTTCATACTTGGAAATGAATTGTTTCCAAGTTTAGTTACCAGTTTTTCCAATTACATTAACAATATTCCAACTCATGTTAGCCAGATCCAATAGTTAAGATTTATCCAAAAAATTACATGTTCACCATTTAAACCAGAAATAAAGATATATCAACATTATACCAACATTATATCTCATGAATGTTAGCTAATTTCATAACTATATCCAACCAATTTTATCCAAAATTTTAGGTAATTTTAGTAGTTAATATTTTATCTAACGAAATCTTTCTAGATGTCAATTACATTGTGAATCTTTTTCATTGACAATTACCAAAATAGAGGACCTTCCCACTAGCGTTATTATATATCTTAGCCATTCACCTACAAACAGGGAGAACACAGGAAAACATAAATAAGTACTAAATCATTATACCAAGCTACTAAATATGTCTAACACCACTGTTGAATATATATGACATAATTATTGAACTCACTTTATATTAATGCTAAAAATATATTAAATCACTACTGAAATTACATGATCATTCTATTGAAAAGACAATTTAAATCTTCTAAATGTTATTGCAACAACTTTCTCAAGGTTAATAGTTTAAAAATTGGCTCCTCTTGTGCATCAATTCCATAAAATAGTCCCAAATTACTGAATGTTTGCACATGTAATTTGTTGGATAAATGTTAACTATTGAAACTAGCTAACATGATTTGGAAATATTGTTAATGTAATTAAAAAAATTAGGAACCAAATTTTGAAATGAGTTGTTGTCTAGTATGTAATTCGTGTACAACTTCATGTTCTTTCAATTCCAACTCTGGACTACTTAATTTGAATAGCATTAGTTGTTTGAATATGTGAGTATCTGACTAGTCTCTTGTAAATGTAAGGATAGTTTTAATGTTAACTACTAAAATTAGCAAACATTTTGGATGAAATTATTTGGATATAATTCTGAAATTTACTAACATTGGTGATATAAAATTCTAATATAATATTGATATTGTAATTTGTCAGTTAAAACATTAACTACTGAAAATAACTAACATATATTAGGAATATTATTAATGTTAGTTGGAAAAATCAAAAGCCAAACTTGGGAATGAGTTGCTTTTCAATGCGAAAACCATGGATAGGCTTGTGTTCTTTCAATCCCAACTTTAAACAATTTAATTTGAAATAGCATCAATTGTAAACATTTAATTAATTTTGTAGTTTCATGCTAGAAAACAATCCATTTTCAATTATGGTTCCTAGTTTTTGCAACTAAGCTTAAAAATACTCTAATCTTATGTTAATGATTTCAGTAGTTATAACATTATCAAACTAGTTATAGGTTCACATAGTTAAACTAGAAAAAATGGAGGCACACACATGTATCAATTACAAGATGACCCACTTCCTTGAATATCAAGATAAGGGTTACAAAACACCCTGCTTCACGTGAAGACCAAGATTGAAGGCAAATGGAGCGGCTTTGAAGAGATGAGAAGGATTTCATGCTAAAAAAAAAAACAGAGACTTTGATAAGATATTTGCCGCACTTGCTCATAAGGGTAACTTCGTAAATTTACTAAATTTTTAATCGCAAGTAATGATCATGGTCTTTTAAAGGGATTTCAACTTTTTAAGGTTTGAAATTGTCATTAGTGCCTTTCTCAGGTATGTAATTGTCATCATTCCTTCAAGTTTTTCTTAATTTCATTGAAACATATTAAGAATGATTTATAAATAGAACCAGAGAAAATATGTTCTATTAATTGAAAATAATTGTTTTTATGACACTAAGCCACAACCAAATTCAATTGTTGCAATAATTTTTGCTTTTAACCCGTTATAGTTGAAATGGGAGAATCACAATAAAGATTTGATGGGTGTGGAGTTTAGAAAAAGAGTCTTGGCAATAAAAAGAGGGAAAAAGAGGGTCCTTCTATGTGTAAAGGTGCGGGAAGGAAGGTCCACATTCATAGAGGCAAATGAATCTTTTGGCTGAGAAATAGATTTGTAACTGGGCCTCTGGCCTGCAAAGTTAATTCAGCTTTTATTGAGTTTTACTTCTGACTTTCTTGTTTCTTAAAAACTTTGATGCAATTCTCCTTAACTTTTTTAAGAAAATATCACATAGCCCACATTGAAAAAAGGAAAAAAAATTATATATTTAATTTTATATATTTAAAATATTTTTTAATTAAATTAATACATGTATATTTTTTATAAATTATTTGGTATATAGTAAATTCTTATTATTGATATTATTAATATATTAAAATTTATGTATCTTAATTTAATTAGACGAGAATATATTAAGTATATAAAATGTAAGCCTTGCCCTTTAAAAAACAAAAGAATGTTACCGCCGTTAATTTGTTGCCTGATTAATTCCCCATCAAGAAATCGGATCTTTTTCACTGAAAAATTATTGATTCATAGAGTTGAACGATTATAGTGCAGTGAATGACAAAGAAACACTTGGCCAATGACAAATAATTTTTCCAAATTTATTTTGTCAATGTGTAAAAATGTTTCGATCCTTGGAACTAAATGACTATAATAATTTTGATTAGAATAAATGACTATAATAATTAAAACAATTAATGCTTAGTTTTAGATTTTCAATAAATGACAGCAAATTTATTCTAGCATTGCAACCAGAGCAAGAAAAAAAAAAAATTAAAAACCACACACACACACACAGAACAAAAGATAAAGGGAAAGTCTCAATGAGAATATCATCATGACTAGACTTAATTTCAATCAAACTCTTAAAAATCTAAAATTTTACTACATATGTAGAGAATTAGAATGAAATTAAAAAGCTAACTAAAATAATTTTATTATCCCGAATAAAAAAGTTAAGTGCATAAATAATTCATAATCTATAAAAAATGACCGACTGACATAAATTAAATTTGCAACTTCCATTAACAATATAACATTATTATGAATACAAGCAAAGCACATGAACAACTTATACAGGAAACATAAATAATTGATATATAAAAAATGAACAATTGACATAAGCAAAATGATAGTTGCAAATTCATAGTGATGTTATGCTATTAATGAGAGTTCTAAAATTCACTCATAAATCAATTGTTAATTTTTCTATAAGAGTTGTTCATGTGTCTAACATTATTAGAAACAATAAGATTATTTTAGTAAGCTCTTTAATTTTATTTCAATTCCTCACATGCATATAAAAATGTCAGAATTTTAAGAATTTTAACTGAAATTAAGTTGGGTTGGTAATTTTCCAAAAACAATAAGGGTTTTTGCATATATAGCTCATTTTGTAGATTTTAACTCAATAAACAACATAACATTTGTTATATTTTGTGTTATGGCCATTTTAATACTTAATTGAGCTTTATATGACAAAACTATCTTCTTTGCAAATAACATGACCTTCTTTCAAATGCTTTTTTTTTCTTGATGAAAACTGTCTTTCAAATATTAGAAGATGAAAGAGAGCTTCATTTGACCCTCATAAACAAATGACAAGATTAAGCATCTTTATATCTACATGATTAAATGGTATTGATAAGTTTTTATTAATATGGTTTATCAGTGATATACAATCAGAAACATTAAAAAAAAATATAATCACTTGTCTAAAACAAATCAAATACAATCCATAAAAAATTCTGGATATCTCAGCTTATTATAGAAAATCAAATATCTAAACTAATAAATCTCATTTTTCATCATAAGAAATGATGAGATTAAGCATTTTCATATCTATAAAATTAAATGGTGTTGATAAGTTTTTACTTATTTGATTTATTAGCGATATATCACTAATATAATATCGTGAATTAGAGACACGAAAAGAACTTAATCATTTGCTCAAAATAGATTAAATATAATCTATAAAAAATTATAAATATCTTAGCTTATAATAAAGAATTAAATACCCCTCTATAATGAAATTTTTAAGTTTACATGTATCTTCGTGTAAGGAAGCTTGGCAAGATGGACATCTTTTATAAAAGAGTGCACTTATTAGGACAATAATAAAATAATATGTGAATATCACTTTAATTTTTTCGCCTACCAAAAAAGATAAAGAACAATTGTGAAAAGGAGATAGAGATATGACTGACATATGTGTTAGGATTTTATTTAATTAGTTAAAAGTTAAAATTATTTAACAAATTATGAGATATATATTCATGAACTAGATTATATAAAATATTTTAATAATATATTTGTTCTGTAAAAAAAAAAAAACCCTTTTAATTAATTTGATGAATGAGTTATATTTTGATATATTTAAAAATCTCATTTATAATTTATAAAAATTATATTTTTCATGATCATCGGAACAATTCAATCAAAATAAGACTTGATTATCACGTAGAGCACTGGAGTGTATTTTCTGTTCATAACAGTCTTTCTCAAAACAAGCCCCCACGCCAACCCAAAAAATTATTAAAAAGAAAAAAAGAAAGAAAGAAACTTCGCCTCTAGCCTTCTACCAAGCTCCTGAGGGGACTCTCAATTCAAAGCGAAGCGAGTGACCAGGAGAGGTCTGTGAGATACTATGAGTGATGAAACTGGCAAAGGAGTAATGTCGCCTTCTCTGTCATTCCATGAAGCGCGATATCGCAAAACTTGTATCAGATGGCTTATACAGAGAAGCTCTTCATATCTATTCCCAACTCCACTCTGCTTCCCACTCTCCTCAGAGTTTCACTTTCCCTCCTCTCCTCAAAGCATGCTCCATCCTCAAATCTCCTTCGCAAGGTCAAATCCTGCATGCCCATGTCATCAAATTCGGTTTCCAAGCAGATACTTACGCTTCCACAGCTCTCACGGCCATGTACATGAAACTTCATCGTCTTATTGATGCCCTCATGGTGTTCGACGATATGCCTCACCGAAATGTTGCTTCTTTGAATGCGGCTGTTTCTGGGCTTTCGAAAAATGGGTATCATGGAGTAGCTCTCAGGGTATTCAAGCTAATGGGATATGGTAATTTAAGACCCAATTCTGTTACTCTTGCTAGTTTGTTGTCTGCCTGTGATGGAGTCAATAGTGGTGAGCAGATACATTGCTGGGCGGTGAAATTGGGGGTTGAATCAGATACTTATGTTGCGACCTCGCTTATTTCTATGTATTCTAATGCTGAAGAGTTGGATTCGGCGAATAGGGTATATGGAGGATTAGTAAACAAGAATGTTGTCAGCTACAATGCTTTTATCACAGGGCTACTGCAGAATGGGGTTCCCTGTTTGGTAGTGGACGTGTTTAAGGACATGATGGTATGTTCTAATGATAAGCCCAATTCTGTCACGTTGGTTTCTGTTCTTTCTGCATGTGCCGGTCTCTTGGATGTTCGTTTTGGAAGCCAAGTTCATGGATTCATCGCAAAACTTGTGACAGGGATTGAGGTTATGGTAGTGACCGCACTTGTGGACATGTATTCCAAGTGTGGTTGTTGGCACTCAGCTTTTGATGTCTTCAAAACACTTGAAGGGAACAGGAATTTAGTAACATGGAACACGATGATTGCTGGAATGATGTTAAATGCACAGTTTGAGAAAGCCGCTGAACTGTTTCAACTTCTTGTATTTGAAGGAATGCATCCTGATTCAGTAACTTGGAACTCCATGATCAGTGGGTTTGCACAACAAGGAAAGAGTGTGGAAGCTTTTTTGTGGTTTAGGAAAATGATGCTAGCCGGCATGGCTCCAAGTTTGAAAATTCTCACGAGTCTTTTGTCAGCATGTTCGGATTTATCTGCTTTGAGACATGGAAAAGAGATCCATGGACTTGCTCTCAGAATTGATATTAATAGGGATGAATTTTTGGTAACTGCACTTATTGACATGTACATGAAATGTGGGCATTCTTCTTGGGCACGAGCAATTTTTGATCAATTTGAGATAAAACCAAATGACCCAGCATTTTGGAATGCAATGATAAGTGGTTATGGGAGAAATGGAGACAAGGAGTCTGCCTTTGGAATCTTCGATGAAATGCAAGAGCAAACAGTTCAACCAAATGGTGCAACATTTGTTAGCGTTCTATCTGCTTGCAGCCACACTGGTGAGGTAGAGAGGGGTTTGCAGATTTTCAGAATGATGAAAAGAGATTATGGCTTGCACCCAAATCCAGAGCACGTTGGTTGCGTAGTTGACCTTTTGGGTCGATGTGGCCGGTTGGACGAAGCTCGAGACCTAGTGGAAGAATTAAAAGAGCCATCTTCATCTGTCTATTCTTCTTTACTTGGAGCATGCAGGTCTTACTTAAATTGCAATCTTGGAAAAGAAATGGCTATGAAGCTCCTCGATTTGGAACCAGAAAACCCAACTCCACTCGTGATCCTATCTAACATATATGCTGGACTGGGAAGATGGAGAGATGTAGAAATTGTAAGAGGAATGATAAAGGATATAGGACTGGACAAACTCCGTGGCTTTAGCATGATAGAAGTCACATGAGAATTAGTCGTGCAGAAAATTTTGGACAAAATATTTTCCTGGACACATTAACATAGCTATCACACCTTGAGTGCTCTTTCTATTCTAACTTTCACAGAAGTCACTGTTCCAAATCTCTTTGATCCAAAGCAATAGGCAAAATGGTAAGGAGGTTCAGTCATGAAACAAGAGATCTTATGTCTCAGTGTAAAATTACCTGGGTATACCTCAATTTTCCCATTACTACAAAAATTCTGCAAACAGAAATGCAACAGCTATGAACGCATCATACACAGCTGGGTCAGGTTTTCATGTTATGCGGAAAGTAACTTGCTTGGTTTCTCTTTCATCAAAAAAGAACTTCTGCCATCTATAAGGTTACTACGATGATTGTGTTCATAAAACCCATCAGAGTAAGCTTCCTGAAATACAAAATGCATGGTTTAAGGCAAAGTTGTGTTGTGTGCAATGTTTTAGAACGTCCACGTGTGTCATTCGTTTGCTTGAAAGCTTTAAGAATTAATTGATTCCTCTGGATGCAGCAAATAATTTGGCCAGGAAGGGACAAAAAGATGTTTACTTTTTCAAACTGAGCTGAGAACACATAAATACTCTGACACCAAGGTACACCTGTCTATCCAGTTTGAATTAGTTCTTGCTTCTGCGTGTCCAACATACTCCTCCACTCCCTTATCAAAATCATCAACATCAACAAACAAAAAACAAAAAAAATAAAAGAAATAAAAATGTGAAAAATTTCAAACACGTCTCATTGTCCTTGAATAATATATTCAAAAAATAATATTATATTTTTTTTATCCTTATAAAGATAATTTTAAAAATACTTTTAAAATATTGTCTAAAATACCATACTATAATTAATAAATATGACCAAATGAACATTGTAGAATGTATTTTATAAATGGGATCGAAAGGTGTACTTGTTTGCTGAAATTTCAATTGATATCATACGTTACAGCTTGTAGCTATGTTGATTTTCTTTGACTCATATTAAGTTCATTAGCTAACTGGGGCCAAATGATTTGAAATTGATAATCTCCTTTATCTTGATATCCAAAGCTTTGCTCCCCATATTCAACTGGAAATGCACAACAGTACAGTACTGAACAAGGAAAACTAAGCAATTTCTTTTTCTTCTTTTTTTTCCCCGTATTGAAGATAAACCATATTCTTTGTTTTTTTTTCCTTTTTTGAAGTGAAGACCAATATATTTATAAATAAAAATAATTACAATAACAAGATTTAAAAGTAACCTACCTATATAATGTGACTAGGAGATTATGAAGAGGGAAATTATAGCAAGTAAATACAAACTAAGGACCTGTTTAGTTGTTGAAAAAAAATGGAATGGGTTGATAAAAAATAAAATGAACTAGAATAAGATCATGAATTAATAGAAAGGTGACAATGATAGAGAGATGAGAACTATAGAGTGACAGAGAGATGAGAATGAGTATTGCTGATCTTATTCATGTAAATCCCCATTTTTCTCTCTCTTATCATTCCATGACTTTCCTTTCTGTAGCATTTTCACATTTTCAATCAATCCATGATTTTATTTTAGTTCACTTTATTCGTTATCAACCTATTTAATTTCATTTTTTTCAAACAACCAAATAGATACTAATGCAATGTCTGGTAGATAAAAAATTGTTTTATTGAAAAGAAATGAAAAATATACTTATCACATTTTCTTTCTAAGTATATTTCCCATCTCCTTTCTAGAACACACTTTGTTGCATACAAACATGCAATAAAGGAACTAAAAATGAAAGGAGCTAGAGGACATGTGACAATCAAGCTTGCGTAAGATAAACACCATGAAAAGAGTCATTGTTAACAGTGGCAGAATCAGATCCTAAGTCAGGAGATGCAGAATAATTTAATGAAAAATTAATATTTTTTAAAAAATAGTAATAATTATACTAGGATTAAAATTATAACAACATAAATAAATTTATTATCATTTTTCATTTTAAAAATTATATTAAATAAGTTGATATGATCTTTTATTATAAATATACTCTTCATATCTTATTTAAATCATTAAAATATTATATATTTAATAAGCTTTTAAACCTAAATATTTTTTATTTAGTTTAAAGGGGGGAAAATATTAAAATAGGAGGTGCAAAGTTATAAATTTTATATGCTACATTTGTAATTTTTTCCAAAGTGAGAGGGTGCATTTACACCCCCTCACCCCAACGTGGCTCTGACACTTATTGTTAAGATTGCAAAGAATTGATTAGAGAGAAAACAAATGAACACATTCTTGATGGTGATTATTCAACATTACAAAATCATGATCCTCCACTTGAATGATTTACAACCATAATTCATTCCTTAATTAAAGGTAGAGCTATCAATTAGGGCAAGCTCGACCCTAAACAATTGACTCTTGAAGGGTTAGGGCTTACATAGAGTAGCCTTGATAAGCTTAATTATATTTGAAAGTTTTATTTTATAAGGTTTGACCTAGCTCTTAGTCTCAGGGCTAAAGAGCGGACCATGTAAGCCTTAGCCTTATTTTTTTAATTTAAAAACATAAAAAATATATTTGTAATCTTAAAAAAAAGTTATTACACATAAAACTAAATTTAGGAAAATAAATTTATGTCAATCTATACCACAACAAGTATAATATCAAATAGCAACATCAAAATTAATACTAATAAAACTTAGACTTTGCTAGCACTATCAGTTAAATTTTAATGAATGAATGTGGAAGGAGGAATGAGTCTAAGGCTTTTATTTCTTTTAGTTAGATAGTTAGTCTTTTATTTTTTTATATTAAAATTTTTTAAAAATAAAAGGCTTAAAGGGCCGACTCTTTTAAATCAAAATTATCATTTTCTATTCTAAAATAGTAGTTCAATTCTAGCTATTTTGGGGCTTGACTTAACCTTAATTAACAGCTCTAACTAAAAGTAATGAAAACTAATTTGAAATGGGATCAAGGGGAGGTTACACACAATAGTTATATTTATTATCTTAATTATTATCACCATTGAAATTATTTTTATTGCATTTCTAATATTTTAAATAGTTAGTCCTTAGCTCTCTGAAAATAATATCTAAATTATAAACTAGCGAGAGAAAAAAAAAATCTAAATCCCCCATCTCATTTCATTTCACCATGCAAAAAGAATAAAAGGAAAAAAAAAAAAAAACGGGGTACAAAGAAGGTACAAAGAAGAGACTTCTGTTTTCAGATGTTACTCAAAAAAGATCTGAGAACAAGTTCTTATTACAATTAACAAAAACCTGAAACATATAATTTGATGCAAAAAAGGAATCCAAGATCGATCAAACTTGTGCAAAATGTAAAATCTTCTTATTAAGTTTGACTAATGCAGATCCAAGTTGATCATCAAGCCTTCTAAACGACCATAATTGCACCATATCATTGACCTTGAGATCATTAGATTGCGCATGTTTCCAACGATAAATCAGATTATAAGTAGAACAACTTTTCATTTGCCACCTTTTCAGAAGTAAGTTGAACTCTTGAAGATTTGGTTCCAGCACTAACACATTTATACGTTGAGGTCTTTTATTATTTGTTGAACACGTTTTCAGAAACTCAACCTCTTGAGGCTGCAGAAAATTGCCTCTGGCTTCCTTCAAGATCTTGTTTTCTGGGATTGAGAAGCGATTATTGTTTGAATTTGTATCACTTTCACAAAGCTTCTCTTCTATCACCATTTGTATATCATGACCTCCCATATCATCAATCTTTTGGTCAACCTTCATGGCAGCATCAATGAGTGAAGCAAATTCAGCAAACGTGGAGGTTCGAACAAGGAGGAATCATCATGAGAATCTTGGTTACAATAATGTTGATCTTTGTTTATAATTTGTCTTTATTTTCTTGAATCTCTCTCTCTTCTGGTTGGGTCTCCTTTCTGCAACGACTTCCTCTCTTTGCAGATTGTTTGTAAGAAGCAAACAAGTGGTATCATAATATTCAGATTCTTTTGTTGTTGGAGATATTTCTTTATCTCTCTACGTTTTTTTTTTTTGAGCTTTTGTACAGATAGCTGATATTATAAGATTAAATTAAAAAAAATAACATATTCTTTCTTAAATTTTAAAAATGACTGTTCAAATATTTAGTTAATATTTAATTTACAAAATTGCTTTTATAAAATTATAACACGTTTTGCAAACACCAAAAGAGACTCAAAACACGAGAAATCAAGTGAATGAGAGAGACAAATGCAAGTTACAGTTATGACAGAAGAAGCAATTTGAAGACGAAAGAAAGCAGAGCGATGTGACTGAGCCACAGTCAGAATGGTGAGAGACATTAACAGTACTCAACGAAATGGAGCATGCCAGCAGAAAAACAAAGCTATAGATTCATGATTTTTTTTTATTTTATTAGCTTAGGTATTTGATTCTCTGTGATAAGCTAAGAGTCCAAAATTTCTTGCAAATTATGTTTGATCCATTTTGGACAAATGATCATACATTTTTTGTGTTACTGTTCTGTGATACTACATCATTTATATATTGCTGTATATCAATGATAAACAAGTTTATGTTTGATTGTCACTAACATACTATTATATAACACTGATACATAAACCATATCAGTGAAAATTTACCAACTTATTTATAATTAATATACAACTGTATATTGATAATGTAGTATTGCATATCAGTAACATGAAAAACATATAATTATTTGTTCAAAATGGATCAAACACAATTCGCAAAAAATTTAATGTTATCGAGATATGTGAAGATAGTAAAAATCTGATAATAGATAATAAATCTTAACTTGGTCTTCTATTTCTAGAAATGAGAAGTCAAGTCAATTTCAACTAGATAATAAACAATGATTTTTGCTAATGTGAAATTCTAAAAATTTTCTTTGAATCGTTATTATTATCTAACAAACTCTTTTATATATATATATATATATATATATATAATATTTTAAATTGTTCGGTGCATATAATACAGAATTCTAATCACGGACTAGTTATGTAGGATATTTTTTTTTTTCTATTTTGGATATATAGTGCCAAAAATTTTATAATTGTTGAGGGGAGCTTTTATTGAGCAAATAAGAAAGATCACATTCTAACTAAATTTGTGATGGGCCATACTCCAAGTTTTTATAAACTTTGTCCAGAATTTTTGGGGCCTATATATTTTGCAACCTCTGCGCCAATTTTCTCTCTCTCTTTTTTCTTTGTCATTTTTATCTCAAGAAGCTTGAACTAAATAGATGCATGGGCCTCTATTATTTATAGAGAATTTTTTTTTCCTTCCTAGCTAGTTGGATTGAGGATTCTTTTTCAAACGAATCTTGGATTTGATTGATAATACAAATTTTATGTAATATCCGATAAAATTGATTAAATAAATATACTTGATACACGAGACTGAAATATTTTCTCATAATATTATAAATAGTTAAATATTTTTATTTTTAAGAGAATTACATATTATCTCGAAAGTAAATAACAATGACAATCATTCATAATATAAATAAAATTAGGTGTGCGTTAAGTAAGGATGACTTTGAAAAGAAATTAAAATTCAGGGTCCTTGAAACATTAAAAGATTAAATATATATAACTAGTTGAAAAACGGATTAAAAAATTATTATCAACTAACAATAAAAATAATAATAAATTATCTCGACTATCGATTTATCCCTCAAGTTTAATTTTTTTTTTGATTTAGTTTTTTTTAATTTGCTTTAGTTATCAATTTGAGACTTATCATTCAAAGATGAGGTAATTTATTGACATGGATAGGGAATATTGATGATAATCTTGTACATTTATAAAAAGAAGTGCAATTATTTATGCCGGGGAAATATAAAAAATAATAATAAAATTCCTCCGAATTCTATATACAATAATTTAGTTTTTTAAAATGTTATAATTTTACTGAAATTTTTAGAGGTGTCTTTGTCAATAAATTATAAATTGAAAAGACTATTTTATTCTTATTGACAAGTTGTGATTTCTTATTCAATTCTTGCAACTCTTTGAATAAAAGTTGTAATTCTTTAAATAAAAGTTGTAAATGAAGTTTGTTATTTTGAGAACCTGTTTTTTAATAATATAAAGTACACTTGACGAATTATAATTTCTTATTCAAATCTTGCGATTTACAAAAAAAAAATTATTATTTCTTAAGCAAAAGTTATGATTGGTGCTTATTTTTTAATAATAGAAATTATATTTGACAAGTTATGATTTCTTAAATAAAAATTATAATTGGGGCTTGTTATTTTTAGTAAGGATCAAATAATTTTTTTCACTTTAAAATTTATTAACACAAAGGTCCTTAAGAACTTCATTCAAATTATAGCATTTTGAAGGACCGAATTATCATTTATATAACTTGAAGAGATTTTATTATAATTTTTTTAAAGATTTTTTTAAAACAAAAGAACAAAATATATTATAAGGGATTAGATTGATAAACATTAGATTAATTTGTGGACATATTTATTCTCATTTAACTACATATACGTAGATTACTAAATGACTAATTCTTTTTTGAAAATGACTATTTTAGTTGTATTTGATTGATAAACAAATTTGTAGAAGGAAACTAGTCATTTTCTATTATGTTTTAATCAATAACCTAACTAAATAATTAAGTCTCAATATAAAATAGTTATTGAAAGTAAATATATCATTTTATTACAAAAAATGCCACATTTAGACAAGTCTTTAAAGACTAAATAATAATTAAAAAATTAATTTATACTCATTTCATTTAAAAAGTATGGCATTTTTAATCAGATCTTACCTTTCAATAAAATAGTTATCTACTTTTAAACTAATTATATTTTTTTATATTTACTCTTATTAAATACCTTACAATAAATATAAAGTTATTCATTAATAGAGTACTTTTTAAAAAGACAATGATTATATCTTGAAAAACTAAAAATATCTTATATTTTTAAATATCGAACTTCTCAAAAAATATTTTATATTTTAGAATGAAGGGAGTAAGTCCTTATAGTTTCTTCTAATTTTGAATTGGGTCTTTATAATTTATTTTGTTTTAATCAAACTTTCACTATAATTTGACCTATTAGATATGTTAATTTTTGAAATTTATAATGAATTATTAACTTCATCATTAATAAAAATTCTTTTTGAGTTTATGGAAAATTTAATTTAATATTTTTTAGCCAAAAATAAAAATTAATTTAATACAATATTTATATTTTTATTAAAAATTTTATATATATATAGACTTAATTTATTAAAGAAAATTATAATAATATAAAAATATATTTTTAATAAAATAATACTTAATTATCATTTATATGTTTTAGGATTATTGTTTTGTTTTGTTTTTAATTGACAATACATTAAATAAAAAAAACCCATATTTAGAATTTAGAAAATAACTAGTGGAGGCAATGAGAGGCAGAGTGGGCGTGAGCTGGAGCGAGAGTGGGAAAGATATGAGAGGCTTGTCTCGACGCTCCGCTCTGAAGCCTGAGCCACGTCGTCGTCTCGATCCTCCGAACCACACCTGCTCACCTTCCAACTAAGTTCACTTTCACCAGCGCCGTCGGACCAGCGTCGGGCTTCGACTACAGCTTCCTTGCTTCTCTTCACCTCGTCTTCTCTCTGTTCACCTCTTAGCTCTCACCGTCGGCACAATTATCTCTTCATCTAGGTCAGTGTTTTGCTCTGTTTATCTCTTCATGGATCCCTTCGACCTCCTCAATGAGGACGATTCTGAACCGGACCAGGTTTAATTAATGATCCTTCTCTATCAATTACGAAAATTTTGTCTTTTGTTTATCCTTTGGTGTTGTTGTGGGAGGTGGGGGTGATGCTACACTTGATTCCAACTCATGAACGCATGCCACGTTCGCCTTGTTCCTATATTTTGTGATTTTGTGATTTGTGAATTAGGTTCTCTTTCATATTAACTATTGGGCAGAAAGTAGTTGGACTAGCAGAGTTTCATTTTCTTCGGTTTATAGTCTCACTGCCTTTATTTTATCCGGTAATGGTTTTCATAATCTATTAAACCATATAATTCGCCTTTGATGCTGAGAAAAGTTTAGGCGTTTAGAATTCGAAGTCTCTTGATCATAGTAACTGACTTGAGTTAGTTATGAGGTTTACATGAATGTTTGCTCAGATGAAAGAGTAATTATGATGATTGGTATTATCTGAGTTTTCATATCTTTTCTGTATCCTTCTCTTCTATTTCCCTTTTCTCATCAAAGATGAACGGAAAAAAAAAAAGCTAACTTGGCCTCAAATTTAGGAAAGATATCTGAAACAGCCCATCATGGAGGTGTTTGTTCTGGAATTTATTTGAATGCTGAAAATGAAATGAGAAGAATATTTGAGGGTAGTAATCAAGCTTGAGGCAATTCTAGGCAACCCTGATGGCTGATTCTTGGACCCTATAATCTTAGAAAGACTGATTTTGTCCTGCCAGCCGACCAATTTGATGGTTCTTTATATGTATGGAATGCTTGGAAACAGAGGGTGGATGCAATTTCTTTATACCTAAAAGCATATGTAGTTGCCAATTTCACAGCACAAAACCTTCAATGCCTATTATTTAATTGATCTCCCCTGGTTGTCCCTTGATATTTGCTTTAAATATCTTTCAACATTGCCGATCACTTCTGATAAGTCTTATATTTATATATATATATATATATATTGAGCATGAGCCATTTGGTGGTGACAAAAGATTGGTGTTACTTAAACTACATGGCATTTCCTGCTTGCTATATGCTGGTTGACATGATGTTGATGCTAATTTGAGGTGCTTAATATGATACCCTATCCTTCATAAAATTTACCTTACATGTTTGATTCATGATTATAGTGTTGGAGTCTTTATTGTATAAGCACTATGCTCAATTTTAATATTAGTTTGGACGTTGTTGATTTTTAATTTCTCAAGCTATTATATTTTACTTGATTTTTTCATTTTGAATTTTTGATGTGATCTTTGTATTTGATTTTTGTCCTTCATTGATGGTGTTGGATAATGCATTGTTTGATTTTTTTTTTTCAAGTTATTATATTTAATTTTAAAAAGCTATCCATTTTGATTTTTAAATTGAAAAATAGAAAATTATATTTTTTATTAATTATTTTATTTTATAATAATGAAATAAATTTTTTGCCAAATATTTTGATGATATTAAATTTAATATAATTTTTTCCTTAAATTATGTTGATGGGGATAATAATATGAGAGTGAATATATCTTAATATAAGGGCATTATTGTCATTGTGACATTTTCACATTTTCTTTACTCTCTGTTATAAGTTATCCATCCAAATAAAAGGGCTGATAGCATTATCCCTCTAGTTTTCTCTTCTCTTCATTTTCTCTCTTCCCATTTTCTTCCCTCCTAATTTTTCTGCCCTTCCAAAGAGACCATTAATTTAATGAGGAATAAGTGCGTGTTTGGTCATTGGTGTGTTTCCAACAAAACATGGTTTTAATAATTTCCATCGTAAAACCAAATATGGTTGAAGTTTTAAAAATGGACAAGTGTATTTGTCTTCACTAGCTTGGATTTGAAAAATCTATTTCTGCGCACAGAAAATTTTTTGGAAGTTATAAGTGTTAAATAATGTAATTTTTGTTAGACTTTGAGCTATATAAAATAAAAAAAAAAGTCAAAAATTATAAATCAATAAATATAGGAAAGTATAGTGGACTTGTAATGATCATGAATGTCATGATATATGTCTGCAATCTTAAAAATGAAGCCGTTAGGGTTCATTCGTCCCTTGTTTAACGGCATCATATCTTATTACTCTCAAATGGATAGTTTTTTTAATAATGCATTTTAAATTGAGTCCCCTTACATTCAAAATCTTTACAATATATGATTATGTAGATTAATTCATGTAATGTACTTGTGTCTCTTGATTAGTCTTTAAGGTTAGAGAATAGAGATAATGTAACATACATTTGATACATGTAGGATTATGTAATACACATTTGATATAATGAATAAGAGAATAAGTATTCTCCCCTATTTCTTACTTTTACTAGGTTGTGTATATATTTTATTATTTTTATAACTGAAGTCATGTTTTCATTTTATATATAGCATTGATGATATTAACATTAATTTCATGGAAATGAAATTAAATGAGAGGAAAACGACAGCTCAGATTTGGATGATGTAATAAATACAGTTCATTACAATCACATAAATGTGCGGTTTTCCTTCCTCATTTCTTTCCTTTTTTTTTTTTTTTATCAGTTTTGGTTCCAACGCTGCTCTTGTTAAGAAAGTGAAGAGCAGGGTTTTGGTATATAGGATTGCTGTGAATTCTATATGGCTGCCATCAGGAACACCAGCAGAATGATCTTCAAGGAGATATTGCACCCCTCCCCTATACTTCCGTTCTCTTCTCTGTGCAGGCTTCCTAAAAACCCAGAAAGTCATTTGCCATTAGCTTGTGGAAATGCTGTTCTTCCGTTATCACGACGCTGGGTTGGTTCCAGTGCTATTCGATGTGCAGCTTCAGATGCTGATGGTGGGGGAAGAAAGTATCAGCTCGACTCTCCCAGGTTCAGCAGCTCCTGCAAGAAGCTGAAGACCGAGCTCAGGTTTTTGATAGCGGGCCTACTCCTAAAATCACATTGGGTGAGTGGTTTCTTTTCTTGCGATTACCTTCTGATTAATTGCTGCAAAACTTAAACTGATATTTGTATCAATCCAAATTTTCTCTTCAGTTATAAATTTCCTGCAAGATCTTATGTGCAATATTCTAGAGATATCAGTGGAATTCTATTTTCTTTGAAGCAGTGTGCCTTCTTAAATTTGGTGTTGCTCGATGCTTATTATAGTACTTCTGCATAAATTTCAATTTGTAATAGTTTTTCTGCCACATTTAGGTTTTTCAACAGTTAGAGTCTATCCTTATCCCAGGACCCTATTAAGAAATTGTCCATTGATATATTTATTCTGGGATTTTGATAGCCACTGTCTTCTTTTAATGAACATAATGATGCTGCAGTTTAGTGGTTCATCATGTTTTCCCCCTCTTTTCCCTCTGTACCTAGCTTGGTTTATATCAAGAAAATGGTATACATTTTAAGTACTTTGTTTTTTTGTTTCAGATCATGTCGTAGTGAGCTTTGCAAGAAGTGGGGGGCCTGGAGGTCAAAATGTAAATAAAGGTCAGTTTAACAGTATTTGGCTATTTGCTACTTTGCTGGAACTTATTCTTAACTGTTGCTAGTAACTTTGCATCAAAATCACTATTAATTTCGGCCTTTTGTTTTGCATCCCGTACTATGAGATGTTTCCCATTTGTTGCTCGTTATTGTTGCTTGGACAGTGAACACCAAGGTGGACATGCGGTTCAATGTTAAAAATGCATATTGGTTAGGTGACAGAATCAGGGAGAGAATTATGCAAATGGTTTGTTGCAACAGATCTCTTTTGTTTTGATACAAAACAATGGAATGTTCAATTTTCATAAATCTTAATATTATACATTGAGATGTGTATTTAAGTGCGCATGTGCACGTGCATGTATGTGGTTGTATCTTTTCATATTCTGCTTACAGCGGATAGTTAAACTCTTTATCTCATGGATTCATAAGTTGATTTCTAGATCCTATTTTTCCTCAATTCTTGATCTAACTTTAATATGTCTTGAGCAGGAAAAAAATCGTATTAACAAGGATGGGGAACTTGTGATTTCCTCAACAAAAACTAGAACACAAAAGTTTGTATCTTCCCTGTTATTTTATTTTATTTGTGTTTCCCTTGTATGTTGCAAGAGAAGTTATCCTGATTCTACCATTCTTTTCTTAGGGGTAACATTGAGGATGCTTTGGAAAAACTTCAGGTGATATAGAACATTCAATATTAGACTTGTATCAAAATTGTTCAAAACTTTGCATTAGCATCAAACTTCGTTATTCTGGGGACATTTGCAAATAAACATGCTTCCATATATCCTCTTCTCCCATCATTAACTTGATAAAAAAAAGAGGAGAAGAAAAACACGAGTTCAATGAGACCTTTGAAACGAGATGGAAGCTGTACAGTTAATGTCAGCTGGTTAAGACAAGAGTTCAACTTTCTGAAGTGAGGACCTGGTGGAAGAATGTAGGATAGGGAAGTAATTTTTAAATTGGTTTTTGATGGAGACTAGTTAGTATGGGATACCAAATCTCACATTAAGTAGTATGGGGTGCTTAATGGGATATTTAGGTGGGTTGATCCTCCCACTTTAACGGCTAGTTTTTGGGATAAGGTTTCCTATCCCATTTTGGTGCCCATTGATTAATATCAGAGTCTAGTTGTCTGCAATTTTGAAGAGAGCTAACCATGGAAGGTTTTAACCAGTAGGAGGCCAAGTTAAGTGTTATGGAATGCAGTCACTGGGATGTTGACTCTCCATGCAAGGGGGCCAATTGATGGAGACTTGGTAGTATAGAATGCCAACTCCCACTTGAATAGTATGGAGTGCTCAATGAGATATTTAAATGGGTTGATTTTCTCACCTCAATAGCTAGCTTTTGAAGTAGGGTTTTCCATCCCACTTAGATATCAATCAGTTTCTTACTTCTGTTTACTATTCATTGATTTTTTAAGTCCTTCTGAACTGGTCGCTATATGGTCCTTGCAGTTTGCATTTTTTTTTAATACATTTCTTAATTATAATTAGGTTTACTTGTTATTTACTTCTTGTGAGCAAGCCTATAAATCCATTCATAAACTGATTATCTTTCCTCATCCTACCTTGTTAGGATCATCGAAGGAAGAATTTTGTCTCTGTTAACCCCAAAACAACTTAAAAAAGTTTTTTTAAACTTGGTAATTTTTGTTGTTGTCTAATGGAAAAATCAGGCAATTATTGATGCTGCCGCGTATGTCCCCCCACCTCCTTCTGAAGAACAAAAGAAGAAAATTGCGAAGATGTAAGAGCAGTTCTGTTTTTAAAACTTCTAATTCTTCAAGTTACAGTGACATGATTTCTTTTATTGCTAGCTATGTTTTTTTTTTTTTTTTTTTGGGCTTAAGTTACATTAGTGCTACTCTATGTTGGAGGGCATGTAACTGATTTGTGGCTCATGTGTGTAATTTTGAAGGGCTGCTATTGGAGAGCAGAAACGCCTTAAGAGCAAGAAAGCGCTCTCCGATAAGAAAGCATTGAGAAGAAGTAAGGATAGTTGGGACTAAGTTATGTTATGGAATACCAAAATCTTGCTGTTCTTGATCATTTACCTAGTAAGTTCACTATCATTGATTAAGCCTCTTTGTTAAGTATTTCCTCTGGTCCTTATTACAAGGCTCTTTTAACTGCTTCACCGGAATTAAAAAAAAAAATGACAGTTGATTTATTAAATATGTCTTAAAATGAAACAATTTCCAACTTTACCTTCGGTAAAAATAGAAAAAGAGAAATACATAATATACAATGAGATATAAAATTAAATTTACAATAGCGGTAAAAGTGGAAAATGATAGTAAATAATCTTCCATGTGCCTTATATTGAGGACTAAATAATTATTTTAGAAAGTGCCTAGGACCGGAGGGAGTACACTATTGTTGAATATGCTTTCTCTGTTGTTCATTAATGTGTTTAATCTAGGTTGCAGAGCATGAAAGCTCAACCTTTTGATGCTATAATTGTACGTGAGATGAGCAATTTAATGTAACGAGGTGCAGCTCAGAAGCATAGCCCAACGGCCAGCTTGCTGGAAAGGACCTCAATGAAGTTTCATTCTCAAATTTAAATGCTCTGATTTTTTCTTTTTTGGTTGCAATTGTGGATATATACAATGGGATAATGCTTGCCGCACACATTGGGCACAGAACCAGAGAGAATAGTGCAGCTTGACATCTTTAGATTTAGGACTCAGGATACACTATACATTGTTCATTAAATTAGCTACTTGTTTCTATGGTTTCAATAATGTACCATGTGTACTTTATAGTCTATCGAATTTGAAGATTAACAGCTCAAGATTGCCCTACTTAAATGTTTTCTATTGTTATACGTTATTCATTAAATTAACTACTTGTTTCTATGGTCTTAATTCCTTTCCACTGTTTGATCTTTGGTGAGAAAAAGAAGTGAAAAATAGTTATGACTCTAGCCACGACAGAACATGTGTTTGGACATGACTGATTTTTCATGGCTTGGACATTTTCTTTTTCCAAATAAATGCATAGCTGCTTGTTCTTCTCGAGAAAAGGCAGGAGCATGAGCAAAAGGATTTGACCTGCTGTATCAAAATTTTTGTTAAATATGGATGGTTAGTAGATTCTTGATTTCCTCTCATGTAAATTTCTATTCAAGGTAGATGAGAAACGCTTATCTTTGACGCCAAGTGGAAAATGGCCACTTGCATTGAATTTGTCTTTTACATAGTTTAGGTGAGTTGGATTTTAAGAATTTATCAGGTCAAGACATGCTTTTGGATATAAAGAGCACTTATAGAGGAATTTACAAATCAATCATCAACAAGATTCTCATGTAGGTAGCAGGATTTGAATTATTAGCTTTATGAGTTTTGAATTAAATCTTTATCAATTAGACAAGCTTTTATTAGTTGTACTGAACTCAAGGGGAGGAAAGAAGTAAAAGGGAGGCATTGTTGATGGTTGTAATCTTCATCCACTGATCACGGTAATGCAGGATAATATGATGTCATTTGCATGCTTCAGTGAATCTTCTTGGTCTTGCTACTATTACTCCTATCCTATGTCAAACGCCTCTATCCAAAGAACGGGGAATGAAGATAATTTAGCTAAATCTTTTGCCTCTCACCGGTATCGGCAGTCAACCATGAAATGTAAAAAGATTGTAAAGGAAGGAAATATATATTCAAAGGATTTTGGCCCAAAAAGATGCGAAGAAAGAAGAAGATATGCTGATAAATTATCGATTAGTTTCGGAAGTTTCTTAATATCAAAACTAAACACAACTATTTCTCAGCGGACGTTGTTCAAGATAGGCATACATAACTTCAAAATCTTGGAAACATGATTTGTTTCTAATGTCTCTGTACAAAATTTTGCAGTCTCTTAAAGTTCTCAGAACTAGGCCTTTGCAGGTACCCTGGCAGCCTTTTTTCTTTTCTTTTCTTTTCTTTCTTTCTTTCTTTTTAGTAAAATTTGATTATTTTATAGTATTATTTTACTTAATATTTTTATTTATTATATTTTTTTATGTTTGTTATGGAATTTTTTTATGATTTAAATTTTTCTAATATTTTTTTTTAAGTTTATATCATGTAAAAATGATGAATAATTGTTAAATACATGTAATTTGAAAAATTATTACTTTTAATTATAATATGGATAAATTGACTTACTGACTCAAAAAAAAATCTTATATCTAAAAAATATAGACTTAATTTTTAAAAATTTAAAAATATGGTGGGTTCATGTTGATATACAAAGAATTTATTATTGATATACAAGAAGTTTATTATTAATATATAAAGGATTTATCATTAAAAATTTAAAAATTTATAAGGGATTTATCATTGACAAACATAATAAATCGATTATGATACAATATATAATAAATGTTGAACTATTTTTTATTTTGGTTATGTAATATGGACTATATCTACAAAAGTCCCTTCTAATATGAGTTTTATAAAAAGATCTATTTTAATATATTTATAATTACATTTTTTTATTCATAAATACAATTATTTTTGTATTTTAAAATTAATTTTTTGGTTGAACCAAAATGGGGTTTGAACCTTGTGACTAGGTGTGGACTCGGCTTCTCTCCTTTGAGAGAAGCCTCTTCTGCCTCTTCTTTGAGGTAGAGAAAAATTTGGACTGTTCAAATTTAATTTTTTATTTTTATTTTTATTTTTTAAATAAAAAATATATAAAATTATAAATTTTTTAATAAATATATCTATCAATTTGACAATTTAAATTTAATATAGATAGTTTGAAATTAATATTAAATTATTTTAATAAATTTACTGTTTTGTTCAGAATATATTTACACTGTCCAGAATATATTTGAAAAGTTAATTTAAATTTTTTAAATTAAATTTAAAGTATCTATATTAAATATGGACTTTCAGATTTATTAGTATTTTTATTAAAAAATTTTAAAATTTTAATATATTTTTTAATTTTAAAATATAAATAAAAATAAAAATAAAATTATTAAATTTGGACCGCCCAGATTAAATCTGGATGGTCCAGATTTTCCTCTGCTTCAGAGGAGAGGCAGAGGAGGCTTCTCTCAAAGGAGAGAAGCCGACTCCGACTAGGTATCGGGTTGAGATGAAGCCGGCTGGACCATGTGCATGCCTACTCAGGACCCTAGAGAACTCAAAAGCAAAGTGGCAGACCACTATTATTCCCTTTATGAAACTTCTTCATAAGAAAACCCTAACTCCCATTATGATTCCTCTCCTCCAAATATAGTTTCGATGAGGCTACCAGTCTTACCCTAAGAAGCACCGATATGGGTATGAGTGTCGGGTACAATACGATACAATACGCGGACACGGCTATTTTTCAAAATTTTATGATATAGGTATGGCTATATAAATAATTAAATATTAAATATTTGAATGTCTAAAAACACAATTTCAAGATATCTAATGCCATCACAAAATATAATACAATAAATAGTCAAGCACTTAAACACTATTAAGTGGCAAAAGATAATTATCAACTTAAAGTAATTCTAATCTTCCCCATCTTCATTGACACCACCACTTTCTCCTATAAGTTTTCTCTCCAAATTGGCTCATCTAGAGATAAACTTATAATTTTAATATTTTCAGCATCATCTATTTCCCAACAATCTCCATTAATATCCTACAATCTATTTTTTCAAATGGAATACTTCTCACTCTTTCTTGAAAGAAGATGAAGATTTGAATGAACAAAAACTAAGTTCTCTGATCTTTTTGGAAGCATCTTGTTTCTTTTTAGTGAATGAACAAAAGAGTAAGTGCTCTAATTTCTTTCACAACAAGATGATGAGCAGGGTTGATTGAGAAGTTTCAATGTAGTCCCTTGAAGTTTAGGAGCATCAACACCATAATTGCTCCACCAAACCTTAGGCTCTAATATCCATCTATCTTGTATGGAATCAATAAAAGAGAACTCATCTAAACATCCAAAAAATTTTGAAAATTCATTCATAACCAATTTCCTCCCTTCTTCATCTGGAAACTCCTCTCAGTTGATATTTCAGCATCTCTATATAGAGAGACTCTATTTGGTCCACTTTCAAGCCATTGTGTTGTATAATACCTATAATAATATAATAATATTAATTGGAGTTGTGATGTAAAAATGATAAAGAAAAGAATTTCATGATCAAAAATAAGAATAACACACCTAAGATTCAGTGAGTGGGCAAGACAATGTAATGGAGTGGTACTCTTTGTCCATCAATCAATGATGATGTTATAAACAACTTCATAAAATGAAGAGTACTTAGAAAGTGATTTTATCTCATGCTTATAAATTGATTCCTTGATTTGCTCTATCATTGAATCCCACATCTCATAAATCAAATGAAGTGTGGATCTATCTGTGTCAGCAAATCTTAACATATCATAAATTAGTTTAGTGAAAGAGAGAATATAATCAACCTTCTCCCACCAAAGATCATTAAGAATTATGTCCTTCACAATAGCAACCTTTCCAACATCATCATCTCTATGAGCATTCCATTCTTCACTAATAACCAGTGTACAAAGAGAAGTTTTGATAAGTTCGAATCCCTTCAACATCACAATTGTTGATGCAAATCTTGTTTCGGCTATTGCAAGCAACTTTAATGGCACAAATTTATTAAACATGGCCAATCTCATGAAATGATTCATGATAAATGTTCGGATAAAGACTGCATCATCCCTCACCTTAGTGATCCAACGGCATTCTCCATAAACAATTTCATTTGCCTCTGTATTTTTTGCTGTACATATATTCTTCAAAGCAAGATTAAGTGTATGCACTACACATGGTGTCCAAAAGATGTGAGGACATTCATCTTCCACCATCTTACCAGTAGATTTATAAATAGGTGCATTATTAGTAATAACTTGAACAACTTTATGAGGCTCCACTTCTTCAACCACTTTCTTTATCAAGTCAGCCATGTAAAATATGTCTTTATACTCACTAGTTGTATTAAATGCCTTCAAAAACATGGGGCCCCCATCACTTATTGCCATAAAATTAATTAATGGCCTTCTTTGTACATCTGTCCAACCATCCGTAACTATACTTACCCCCTTATGATTCCAAGTCCCTTTGATTGATTTAAGTTGCCTTTTAACATTGGCCTTTTCTTTTTGCAACAAAGTAGACCTTAGTGCATTATAACAAGGAGGTTTAAAATCAGGAATTACATTGTTGGCAGCATATTGAAATGCACTAATAAAATATAGATTATGTGCCAAATTGAAAGACAAGCCAGCCAAATAGAACATTTTAGCAATTTCAGCAGTTAAATTATCTCTAGCTCCTTGTTAGAAAGCTCTTTCTATTATATTTATTGCCCTCCTTTTTCCCTGATTGTGTTCACTTTGAATAGGGGTAGAACCCCTTTGTCATAAAGGAGACAAGCTCTCAGTTGGAGTTGGCAATGGCACATGTCTTGATTTTGTTCTATTCTCAGCCTCCTCTTGAGCTTTTCACATTTCACCTAAACATTATCATCAACTTTCGGGCATATAGCAATACCTTTTTTAGAGATCCTCAACAAATGAAATTTAACTCTAGAATAAGAGCCATTATATTGGTTATTACAATAGTTACACTTCTAACTTCTATTTCTACTATCCCCTTCATTTTTTTGAGGAACCAAAGTTACATAAACCCATAAAAGAGTACTCTCTTTCTTTCTTTCATTACTAGATTGAAATTGAGAATCCACACTTCCTAAACTACTACCGGGTCTAGAATTAGAAGCCATTGCAGGTTTAATTTTAAACAATATCCTGCAATTTTAACATGAAGAGAGCTAATAAAAATTTAAAATAAATCAATGTTTAACTCAACAAAATAATCCATCTAAATAAAAAAGTTTAAATCA